AATATATATACTGGAAATATTAGGTGAAATAGTTTCGCCAACAGTGTGCAGTATTTTCAAACTGGATAAATCATATTTAGCTAACAGTCTCTGTTGTTTGTGTAACTACTAGTTGTGTAATCAATTGGGGAAATGTACTCAAATAGTTGATCCGATAGTATTGAATACATTGGCCAACAAAATCCGGTGACTGATTGTAACCGATTAATACTACTTGCGAACCGTTAGCAACTATGGTCTAACAGTGTCGATGTACCCGATGTATGACCTAACGGTGCAATCAAACCGGTTATCATCATCATTAACTGTATATCATTATTTGTATGGCCGTCCATCATCATCATCATCATCGATGACCAAACCGATCGTTTAGCATAGATTGTCCGATGAGGTATACGGGCACACTTTGGTTGGCCAGTAGTACCCGATGTGTGTATCAGATAATGCATATCCCGATCGGTGTCGACATTAAAGTAGGGTATTTTGGACATAGATCTATCCCTACCATCGGCTACTAACTGTCCATACGATACAAAACAATAACATTGATTATTATTATTATTATCATTGAATTTATTGTCAAAAACAACAACTAGTTTAATGTCCGGTAGTTTTGATGTAGTTTTTTGTTTAGTAGTATTCAAAACCCATTGAAATTTTGGTAAATCTTCAGCGGATGTCATAATGCAAGTAATGTCCGCTTCGTTGACTTCACGTAGTATTTCATATTTAACGGCATAAATGTTAGGCCTAACCATTCAATGGCAAACCGTAGTACCGAATGTTCGATAGTATTATTACCACTGATAGCCACCCTATCCTGTTTGCAGAGACCCCTGTCTACCAGTGCTACAGCCATACTATGCGATAGTTGTATGAGTTGTCCAATTGTTAGACGTCTGTCAGTATTTGCTTCAATCTAAGTAATTAATAAAAATAAATAAATAACATTTAATTTTAATTAACTAAAAATAAATAACATTTAATTTTAATTAACTAAAAATAAATAACATTTAATTTTAATTAACTAAAAATAAATAACATTTAATTTTAATTAACTAAAAATAAATAACATTTAATTTTAATTAACTAAAAATAAATAACATTTAATTTTAATTAACTAAAAATAAATAACATTTAATTTTAATTAACTAAAAATAAATAACATTTAATTTTAATTAACTAAAAATAAATAACATTTAATTTTAATTAACTAAAAATAAATAACATTTAATTTTAATTAACTAAAAATAAATAACATTTAATTTTAATTAACTAAAAATAAATAACATTTAATTTTAATTAACTAAAAATAAATAACATTTAATTTTAATTAACTAAAAATAAATAACATTTAATTTTAATTAACTAAAAATAAATTTAATTTATAATAAAATATTATTCATAATTCATATATATAATTAAAAATAATTATTATATAACATACTAAGCAAACATGATTAATGTTTATTGTTTGCAATTTATCCCATAAATATTGACCAGCTGATTTATATTTTTTAGCTAATTGATCATGGTCAGTGAATTGTTTAGATTGATCAGTTAGATTCATATTACTTATTGATACAATATATAATTGTTTTTTGAAAAAAAATTCAATATGTTTGAGATAGGATAACAAAAATAATTAAAAATTTTAAGTACAAACATTAATTTAATTATTATGAAAAATAATAAAAATTTATTTTTTTTGTTAAAATATATATATATATTATGTTTAAATAATTATGACATTGTATTATTTTTGATAAATGCCATTTTATTTCTAGAAATATGTGACTTATTAAAATATACAAATTTAATTAAAAAAAATAATACAATAATTAATTATTATTATTATTAAGTTTAATATATTGTATAAAATTTTTATTAATATACTGTCAATACACTTTCTATGTCAAACTGAAAAAAACATTGACTTTGTATACATTATATATAATTTTTGTATATTCATTATATATATACATCAAATTATATTTAATTTTTAAAATTATTTAGTAAATAAAATACCACATTATTATTATTTGATAACAATTTTTTCTAATTTAAACTTGTCTTGTATTTACACTATATATATATCATATATCAATATATATTAGTTTAAAAAAATTGTATGTTAGAAAGCTTATCTACAAAAAAATACTAAATATCATTATATTATTATTATGTATATATAAATTATTTGTTATGTACTTTATTTTATACTTAAACAGTAATTTAACTAAAATTAGGCATTTATAAAAATTTGTCTCATTTTTTTATAGTTAAAGATTATACTTATTATTGTTATTTTTTTGTAAAATTAAAAAGCAATTAAGTCTTTAATTTGTTGTCTAAATTTTATTATTAATTTTATTGAAAATTATTTTTATTGAATACAATAAATAATTTGTAAAAAATTTATTGTGTAAAATTCATGATTAATACTAATTAAAAGTTAATATTATAAATGATAAATAACATATTTATAATATTTAATTGTTATCAATTAAAATATAGCTTACTAATTGTTTAATAAAAATATATAAATGTTAAAGTAATGATTAATTTATACATACAGATATACAGTATATATATATACAGTATCTTTTTATATTATTTTTTTAATATATATTTCTATTGCTATTTGTTATTTTAATAAAACTGAAAAAAAAGTTAGTAAATTTATTTATGATATTTAATATTAATTTACTATATATTATATTGTCATATCAAACAAGAAAAATTATTTTATTTATAATTAAATTTTTATAAATATATATATTATTTATCTTATTTACTACATGAATATATTTGAACCCTTATAGTACCAATTTTAAAATTTTATTTTTTTAACCATTTTTTATCATTTCAAACAGCGTTTATTTTTGTTAACTAAAATAATTGTATTATTATTTTTAAAAACTAGTTTCAATAATATTAATAAATTATATACACAAAACTGATTTTTTTTAATATATTATATTTCTCTCATTTTCTATATCTTAATTTATAATAATTTACTTTATATATACAGTCCATGCCACAAGTTTAGAATAGACTTAAATATAATCATATTTAATCTAAATTAAAATTAAATCTTGAAAAAACTTTTAAAAATATCTAGGCTACAGTGTGTTTGACAATATTATTTCATTAAAATTTTGAAAAAGTGATTTAGTAAAAAATTATTATATAATTAGTAAATATCACTAAAAAAATCTGTGACAAAAGTATTGAATGAAGAACTGTTAACACAATTTTGGCGTAAAAATCAAACTTTCAAAAGATAAAAAATAAATTTAAAATAGTTCAAATCTTATTATAATTAAAAAAATAATTTAGACTTAAAATTAAGTTATTTAAGAGCACCCAAATAAAAAAAATAATTTCCCGCGGGAAACATTCCGAGTGGACGGCCACTTAATTACTTGGTCATTATTGACCAATCTATATTGTTGATWARTTTTTATTTAKCTAATACTAAAAATTATACAAATTCGCCGCYAAGTRGACACCCGAAGTTAATTTTAAATTWTAATCGCCGAAGCACGGTAACTTTGGRTGGCCGTAGCCCACTTACCGATAAAAATATTGCGGTCAAAGTAGCGCTGATGTGTTCATTTAAACAAGTTAAAACAATTTTGGGCAGTGAAAAAATATTTCAGCTGCCGAAAATGGCCATAAATAACCTCGACTAAAGAGATCCCATAGAGATATATATAAATTATTCTAAACTTGTGGCATGGACTGTATATATAATAAATTAAAAAATATTTCTAATACATTTATGATTAATATAACTTATTAAACAAAACTAAAAACTTACAAATAAAACAAATAAAAATTATTAATTGAATTATATAAAGCAATAATATAAAGCAACTAATGTTAATTATATTAAAATTTTTATATTAATTGCAGTTAAATAAATTTATATAAAGATATGCTTTATCTTTGTTATAAATCTTAAAAAACTAAATAAAATATCAAAATTTATTGTATTTAAAAATAAACTAATTATTTTTAATTCTAAAACACTGTTAAGAAATATTTATTTATTATATTTAACTAGTACATACTATAAATAATAAACAGATAGTATTATATTTTGAGATAAAAATATTAATAAATTTATTACTTTATTATTTTTACATTTTATAGTTTATAACATTTTTGAATAAAGTCTATAATAATTTCATTTATTTATTAATACTAAAAGCTTTTTAGATAACTTTATTTGATAATTTGTAAGTCTAGACGTTATAATAAAATTATATTGATAATTTAATCAATAGTTTAATAAGTTTATGATAAGTTTACATAATAAATAATTTATATATAGTTAAGTAAATTACAAATATTAAATATCTTAAATATAAATTTGTATATAAAAATATTGATAATTTTATTTCATACAAAAATTGTTGCAATAAGTTAATTAAATATTCAATAAATATATTATTAGAAATTAAATAAATTATATGTATTTATACAAATTTTTTTTAAATATTTTAAATTTATTATAAATTTTTTTATAATAAATATAAATTTCATTATAATATGTATTTAGATTTTTATAATTAAAATATATTATTATCAGTAATTTACTGATTAAATAAAATACTGTTATTATATAAAAAATATTTTAATAGAAATTCTGGTAATTAAATTTATTGTTGTTGTTATTTCATACTTATACATTTATAAACTTTTATCAACTATTAATATTTAGTTATAAAAATATAAAAAATATTTAAAAATGACAATCTGTATTTTTATTATATATTAAATTTATCAAAATTTTTTTTTATTGAAATTAACAACAATCATATTAGACAGGTTAGATTATAATAATAGAATGTATTAGTGTATTATTCTGATAAATAGTTTAACATTGAAAAAAAAAATTCTAAAACAAATATCTAGTTATAATAAGTATATATAAAGAAAAAAATTATATTCATATTTATATTAGTTTAATCTAAACTAAAATATCAATTATGGCTAGTCAGAATTGTGAAACAAACGAACTAGATGAATCGTCATCGGGTCAACAATTAAAAAATTTACCACCTGATAAATTAATGGAATGCGAAGCTAAAAGCGAATCGGCAATATATAAACAAACATGGATATTTCGCTATCACTTTGAACAATGCGATGATATTGTAGAAGCTGCTTTTCGTGTAGCCGATTATGTACCCGAAAGGCGGAAACAATTGACAGCAAATGGTGATGTCAATGAAGAAAATATATGGAAAGATACGGTAAGAAATTAGTTGTAAATAAATTATAAAATTATTTTATTTTTTTTTGAATAGATTATTCCAATACTTGTTGAAAATCTTAAACAAGATGTCGAATTTAGAGGCGTAGTAATGGAATCATTTGCAGCAATTAGAAGTTTGACAATAACCATACAAAAAGCCTATAACATTGTTAATGAGTGTAAAGGTTTGTATTAAAAAAATTAAAACTTATGTATACTTAATATTTTACAAAAATTAGGTAGTGTAGTTTCTATTAAGATTGCTCAGAAAAACATACCAAATGCTTTAAAAAGATTGGACGAATGCTTTAATAAAGCAAAAAACTTAGATGATAGTGCTATAAAAAAATTTGGTGATGAAATTAATACTATCTTAAACATTATTGGTCCAGAAGCAGCAACATTCATGGAAGAAATAGTAAAGTTACAAGCTGAAATCAATAAATGTTATGAAGAAAAAAATAAATTAATGGAACCTGTTGCAGAGCTAGAAGGTCTATAAATATTTATTTATTAACTAAAGTATAATAACTGAAATTCATACGTTAATTTATAATTTAATTATATTTTTAAAATATGATTTAGGTAATTGTAAAAAATATCAACATTTAATAAATGCTACTGATATTTATCTAAAAAGCTTACAAACAGAAGTTGATAAAACTAGTATACTAAACACAAAAATGGAACAAACTAAATTAGATGTATTGGATGTTATAAAAAATATCAAAGACACAGTCAAAGTTCCTAAACAACAATCTAAATCATTTAAAATTATAGGTTTGAAGTTATGGGAACAAAATTTTGGTTCTACAAAATATATTGATGTAAATATTATAAAAAATTTATACTTATATATGTAGTAATGAGCTTGATATAATTATTTTTTACATTATATATGCATTATAGTGTTTTTTAATTTTTTAACTCATTATAATAGGATTATAATCCACATAAAGAATCGGAATCTAAACATTATGAAAATCTTATTCGTCTGCATGCTGAACAAATAATGAAAAATGATGATAAAATTAATTCTAAAAAAGAATTAATTTTACAATTAGAAGATAACAAAGCTGATTATTCTAAACAATTAAACGAAACTAATAAGAAATTGGAAACACTCACTAATGATTTAAAAAAGCGAATGGAAATTATTGACAAGAACATTAATAAAATGTTTAATCAAATTGAAACATATGACAAAGATGCTAAAGAACTATCGGAAAAATATGGACTATCAAATAATAAATTGCTTAAATGTTTAATAAATGTACGATTGTTTGCCAAAAATATTAAGTCAAATGCATCAGCATATTCCCCATTGTGTGCTATACTAACAGGTTAATACTTAAAAATAATAAATATATTTAAAATTTATATTCAAAATATTATTCTAGATATTAAATCGTCTGTCGAATCATATGTTGATTTATTAAGCATGGCAGAAAATAAGTATGATATATTTATAGCTGGTCAATATTTGATGCGTCAAGTTGAATTTTTGTCAAACTATAATTCAATTGCTATTGATACTTTTGCAGCATCCGAAAAGTATAAAGAATATCTTAAAAAATTGGACACAGCAATTGTTACAATGGCTATTGAAAATTAATTGTAATTATATGCTAATAATATTTTTCTCCTTTTATAATTAAAAACCGCTTAACATACTAATTAATTATTAATCTAGACATACATATAATAATGAAAACTAACATTAAAAAATATATTACTATTAAATTTTTATTAATTAAATCAGTCTTAAACTTATTATGAATATTATAATAAATATATAGTCTTTATAATAATGTTGTTTAAATATATTTTTAAATATTCATTAAACATTCATACAGTATACAAATAAAATAAATAAGTTTATAATTATAATACATTGTTTTTATGGAAATTTATTTAATTTATTTTTTGTAAATGTATTAAAAATATTTTATAAGTTTTAAACAATAAATAAAACAAAAAATTTTTTTTTGATTAATTTAGCTAATCATTAGTAATACTAAATAAATAAAATTTATAATTACTCGATATATATTATCTATAAATATATTACTATAACTACATGGTGTATATTCAGCAAAAAAAATTATTATCATATTAGTTTTATAAATATTTTAATTATTAAATATAATATAATATAAGTAATTTATACAATCTACTGATCATATTAAATTATACTTTTTATTACTGAATATTATGAGTTAAAATTATTAAAATAACCATTAAAACTTAAAAATTAAAAATTAAAGTAACATATTATATAACTATATTTATAATAAACTAATATAATGACAATTTTTTTATTATTTTATATTTATTTAAATTATAGTTATCTATTTTGATTTTAAGTTATTAATATTTCCATAATTTTTTTTTATAAAAAAATATATTTTAATTCCACTACTAATAGCTAATCAAATGTAATTTTAAATTATAAATGTTGTAGTATAAATTTTATATTTAATGAATTTATTTAATGAGACTATATAATTAATTTTGAAAATTCTAATAATAATTTTTTAGTATATTTAGTATTTTTATTATTACTTAAAACTACTTAAAAAAAAGTTTAATAATAAAATATATATTACTATTATAAATATTAATTATATTATATTTTACAATTAGAAACAAAAAATTGTTTTTAATTTTTACATAACAGTATGTTTAATTCAATTGAATACAATTATAATTTTTTTTAAATATATTTATTTTCATATGCATTTATATTATTTTAATCTAATAATATTGTTATTATTAATATTAATTTAACAAACTGGTAATAATTTAAATTAATTAGTTTTATTATAAACATATGTCTTAAAACATAATTACTTTAGATGAATCAAATTTGTATTCCATATTTTTATTACTTTACTAATTATATATATTTTTAATTATTATTTACTATAATAATTTTCATATAATATATTTTTATTATCATAAATATTTCATAATAACTAAATAAAATTTTTATTTCAATAACTTATAATTAATTTAGTTACATTTTTTTATAATGCATTTTATCTAGATACAAATAAAAAAAATACAATTTTTAATTTCTAACTTTTTTTCTGACTAAGATTTCAATTAATTTTAAAAATATTAATTTTAATGTTAATTTTTTTAATAAATATAACTAAATTTTTAATTTAAAATATTACATATTCATTAAATCTACTACATTTAGACAAATAAAATATAAATATAAAATCAGATAAAAACATTAAAATAAAACTAAAAAATAGTTTATAGTTAAAGTTAAAATTAATTATTGTTAAGCAAATAGTTTTTTGTTGTGGGCATCCTAGTTGGGCAAACTTAGACAGTGATTTAGACAACAATCTAAAACTTTTTTTAAAAAAAATAATTAATAATAAAAATATAAGTTATGTGATAGTTTCATTGGTTGTTGTTTTTACAGTTGAGTTTGTCGGTGGTGGGCATTCGGGATTGCATTTACATGGACAACAATCACAATGGTATACACCACAATCTAAACGTTTTTTTTTTAAATAATAATTTTTTAAATAATTTTTTACTTATAAATAAAATGTAATATTTTATGATTAATATAATACATACTTATATTTTGAATTGAAACCATCAATAAAACAATCAAAAGTAATACTATTTTAAACATTTTTAAATATATTTTTTTTGTTGCTATTGTTGTCTATTTTATTATTTTAACTATGTCTTTTCAAAAAAAAATTATTTTACTTGTTTGTATATACTGTATTTGTTCGATAAAAGTTAACTAATATACTAAAAAAATTTGCTAAATCATTGAAAATAAATAATATTTTTTTATTACAAAATTTTAGTGCAATTATTTTCGAACAAACTTTTTTTTTTAAAAAATAGTTCACTGAAATCTATGTGTGTGTGTGTCTGTCGCTTTCAAGTTGGGAATTTTGAAATTTTGATTTCAGTTTCGGTTATATCATCAAAAATAAGGTATTGGGTACATACATTAAAATTTTGATATCTCTTCGGGAACATAAAGAAAATGGCGGCCAAAGTAAAAAAATTTTTAGAAATTTTTTTATTAAGTATAGATTTGAATAAAGGATCAAAAACAAGCTGAAAAATATGCATTAAAATTTTGATATCTCCTCGGGAACATAGAGTAAATGGCGGCTAAAGTAAAAAAAATTTAGGTAAAAATTTTTAACGTTTAGAATTGCATAGAGAATCAAAAATAAAATATAATAAATCAAAATTATTTTTTATATTTTAAAAAATGGCGGCTAGTATAAAATAAATGTAAATTTTAACGTTTAAAATTGCATAAAGCATCAAAAATAAGATATTAAATTGAAATTATTTTTTTTCAAAAAATGGCGGCAAAGTATAAATAATTAAATGTATGGTAATGTATGGTAATGTATGGTAATGTATGATAATGTATGGTAATGTATGGTAAAGCATGGTAATGTATGGTAATGTATGGTAATGTAAGGTAATGTATGTAATTCTAAGTTTATATTAATATAAAAGTAATAGAGTAAATTATTTTATAATTTTGTTTTATACTACACATGACAAATATTAAGTTTATTTTGTATAACTAAATTATTTGATACCCGATATGACTCTATGATTATAGTTGAATTTACTTTCTCATTCTGAATTATTTGATACCCAACATGACTATATTTGATTTTATTTTGCCATGATGAATCATTAGATACCCTAAATGTCTATAGTTGAATTTAATTTCTCATTCTGAATCATTTTATACCCAACATCACTATAGTTGTTTATTTACTCATATTTAATCATTAGATATCTTACATGCCTATAGTTGAATTTAATTTCTCATTCTGTATCATTTCATACCCAACATGACTATAGTTGAGTTTATTTTGTCATGCTCAATCATTTGATACCCAACATGCCTATAGTTGAATTTATTTTGCCATGATGAATCATTAGATACCCTACATGCTTATAATTGAATTTAATTTCTCATTCTGAATCATTTCATACCCAACATGTCTATAGTTGAGTTTATTTTGTCATATTTAATCATTAGATACCCTACATGCTTATAATTGAATTTAATTTCTCATTCTGAATCATTTCATACCCAACATGTCTATAGTTGATTTTATTTTGCCATGATGAATCATTAGATACCCTAAATGTCTATAGTTGAATTTAATTTCTCATTCTGAATCATTTTATACCCAACATAACTATAGTTGTTTATTTTGTCATGCTCAATCATTTGATACCCAACATGCCTATAGTTGAATTTATTTTGCCATGCTGAATCATTAGATACCCTACATGCTTATAATTGAATTTAATTTCTCATTCTGAATCATTTCATACCCAACATGTCTATAGTTGAGTTTATTTTGTCATATTTAATCATTAGATACCCTACATGCTTATAATTGAATTTAATTTCTCATTCTGAATCATTTCATACCCAACATGTCTATAGTTGAGTTTATTTTGTCATATTTAATCATTAGATACCCTACATGATAAGTTGGGGTTGAACCCTAGTTGAGTTTATTTTGTCATGCTCAATCATTAGATACCCTACATGCCTATAGATTTATTTAATTTCAAATTCTGAATCATTTGATATCTAATAATTTTAAATTATTATTCTATAATAAAGTTCGAACATATTTTATGCCATCAAAGTTTGTTCATGGCAATGCTTATAGCATTTTCAACTGGTTTTATTAAATAATAATGATATTTCATAAAAATTTGTTGACATCATAAATTTTAATATTCATTTATATTATTTCTATTAAAATTATTTATACGATTAATAACTAACAAAAACAAATTTGTAAATTATTAAATAATTATATCATCAATATATTAAACTTTTTTATTTACTAAATTTAATTATATTTTTTAATAATTATTTTAAATAGATTACTTTTTACTATAAATTAGTATTTTTATAAATATTACATTTATTTACTTATTTATTATTTTTATTTACATTTACTATTTAAATTACTATATGTGTGTATTAAATTAAAATAAATTAATAAATAATTAAAATATTAATCTATTAATCTATTAATTTTTAAAGATATTACTGTTTTTATGTAAATATTTTATTTATAATAAACAACATAAGCATTTTAGATAAAACTAAATATTATTTTATTAGTATTTGCAATTAAATAGTTATTAAAAAATTTATATTAATTTTTACTTATTTTATTTTTAACAAATTTAAAATAGTTTATTTATTTAGTTATTACAAAACATAAAATAAAATATTATATAATTAATAGAAACATTTATAGTATTAATTTACAACTAATTAATATTCTTATTTATATACAATAATCATTATTTATAATTTAATTCAAAATATTTTATATACTTAATCAGTTAAAAAAAACTGTAAAAATGTTTTTAAAAGTTATTAATAAAATCATTGACATTTATATATTTTGTTAAACTAATTTGCGATGTTATTAAATTTTATTAAAAATTAAGATATTTTATTTGTATTACTGATTAATCAAGTACTTATAATGTCAAACTTTAATAAATAATTTACTAACAGTTATTATTTAATAAATAAAAATAAAATAATAAACAACTATTATTGATATAACTTGAGATTTTACTATATATTTTACTATAAATTTTAATAGTATATATATATATATATATTAATATATATACCGGTAAATATATATTTCAAATAATTCAATATATTGATAATAAGTTCGTTTTAATATTTATTAAGTATTAATTTAATTTTTTTAGATTAATTAATCTGATGGTATGTCTAGACATGAAATACCCAATAGTTTATAATTAATATATTAATAAATAAATATAGATATCTTATATTAAATAAATATATGGTCTAAAATTTACTAATTACAGTAGCTAAGAATTTTTAAATAATTTTTAATATATAATAAAAAAAATTAATGAAAATGTATTTAAATATAATTTAGTAGATGATTATTTTAAATAAATAGATGTTATGTTATTCATGAATTATTTATTGTTATATTAAACAAATATGATATCAAATGAACTTTGTTTTTATACTTAAATATTTTAGTATTAATAGTTAATAACATGTATAGCTACTATTTGACAGTATAGCTTAACATGTCATTGTTAAAATATAGATTTTGATAAAATGTTAATATTGTAGAATAATAAAAATAAGTTGCAATTAAATACTTAAATATATAAAAAAATAACAATTGATAACAATTTGGTACTTATCTAATATAATAATTATACGAAAATTTTCAATTAAATTGAGTATATAAAGTCTAAAAAACTTATAAAATTTAATATATTTTTTAATATTATGGATAGTAACTATTGTTGGCAAGATGACGAAATAAACAGTTCTGACCAAGATGAAAAAGTGGAAACCCTATCTGTACAACAAAAATTGTCACCTGATGAATTAGTTGATATTGAAACTAAAACCAAAAATTCAATAATTGAACAGACAAAACAATTTGGTTTTCATTTTAAACAATGCGAACTAATTGTCGAAACTGCTTATCGGGTTGCCGATTATATACCCGAAAAACTAGACAATCAACAAGATGATATATGGCAAAATAAGGTGATTTTTTTAATAAAAAATTAACCATTATTATTTATTTTAAAAATAATTTTTATTTTAATTTTTTAAAAATCATATTAAAAGATAATTCCAATGTTAATTGATAGTCTTAATCAAGATGTAAAATTTCGTGGTGTAACTATTGACTGTTTTTCAGCTGTGCGAAGTTTGACTTTAACTATACATAATACCAATAAAATTCTTAATGATAGTAAAGGTTGTATTTTTATAATATATATTAATTTAAACAAATTTTTAAATCATTATTAAAAAAAGGTAGCGCTGTAGCAATTAAAATTGCCCAGAAAAACATACCAGATGCTTTAAAAACATTGGATAATTGTATTGATGAAGCTCATAAATTGAATGATAGTGCAATTGAAACATTTAGCGAACACATTACAGATCTTTTAAAAATTATTGGCCCCGAAGCAGCAAACTTTACTGATCAAATAGTTAGTTTGGTATCGGCAATTAATAAATATTATGAAAAAAAATATAATCTCTATAATCGTGTTGTAGTACTAGAAGGTTTGTAAAACAATTTTAATTTTTAAAGTTAACAATATATTTATTTATAAATAATTTTTATTTTATTAATCTATATTTTAGGTGATAGGGATAAATATGATCATTTAATCAATGCTATTGATACTTATATAGAAAGCTTACAAATTGATGTTAATAATACTGATAAACTTAGCGATAAAATGGAACAAACTAAATTATACTTATTAGATATTGTCAAAAATATTAAAGATAAATTTCTAGTACCTAAACAAGAATCAACCACATATAATCTATTTGGTTTAAAATTGTGGGAAAAAAATTTGATCCAATTGATTTTGTTGAAGTAAGCTAAATTTTATTAAAATTATTTAGATGTTTAACTGTTTAAAATAAATAAGTATTATTAAAGTCATATTACATTATTAGATAATTAAATTTTTTCTATTAACCATTTATAATAGGATTATAATCCTCATAAAGAATCGGAATCTAAGCATTATGAAAATCTTATTCGTATGCATGCTGAACAAATAATGGCTAATGATAATAAAAAAAAATCTAAAAAAGATTTAATATTGGATCTAGAACAACAAAAAGCTGATTATATTAAACAATTAAATATAGCTAATAAAGAATTAGAAATTCTATCTAAGGATATAGAAAATAGATTAAATAATATCGATAAACAAATTAAAATTTATTACGATAAAATTGACACATATAATAAAAATACTATTAAAATTTCTGAAAAATATGGACTACCAAACAATAAATTGATTGAATGTTTAATAAATGTTCGGTCGTTTGCCAAATCAATTAAGCCAGGTGCATCAGCATATTCGCCATTGTATGCCTTATTAAAAGGTTTGATTAAAATTTTTTTTTTTTAAATTTATTGACACTAATTTGAATTTGAATTTAAATTTTAAAAAAAATATATTTATAGATATTAAAACAATTGTTCAATCGTATGTCGATTTTTTGATTATGAGCGAAAATGCTGGTGAAATATTTATGGCTTGTCAATATTTGATGCGTCAAGTTGAATTTTTGTCAAACTATAATTCACTTGCAATCGAAATATTTTCATCATCTGAACAATATAATGATTATATAAAAATGTTGGATACAAAAGTTACTGCAATGGCTATTAAAGATTAACAAATTATTATACTAACAGTAGTTAATTCTATAGATTATATTTTGTTTTTTGTATATATTAAATATATATTTATATATTGTTTAATTTTGTTTTTAATTGTATTGATAATTATTACTACTAACTAAGATATATATATACAGTATATAATGTATAGACTATATTTATAATAAGATAGAGATTTTTATTAATTATTTTTCAAAGTATTTTTTATTACTTAAATAATTTCTGTTAAACATAATATTAATAAATATTTAACTTCAATAAACTTTTTCTAAAAAGAATGCTATTTTATATTATTAATAAAATTATTAAACAATTATTAAAAATTTTTTGTTTTTATTATTAATAACTTTTCATTTATATTTTCGCAAAATTAAAAAGATTATTTTATCACAATTATTGATAATAAATTATTTAAATTATATTAAGTTATTATTAATTGGTTTATATAATAAAATATTAGACATTATTTCATATTTTAAATTAAATATTATTATCTTACATAATTTATCTATAATAATCCTATAATGATTTGAATTTAAACTGTACTAAGATTAAGTAAATAAGGTTTAACTATTATTTATATAAAATATATATATATACTGATTAATAAATATTTTATTATATCAAAATATTAGGTTTATTATAATATTTTTATTTGATATCTTATGATATGACAACTTTGTCTAGACGTAAAAAAGTTATGAAATAAAAAATATAAATTATAATTTTTTTTTTAATAAATTAAAATTAAATATTAAGTTTTAATAAAATTAAACAAAAACAAAGAAAATACAATATGTACAATTTTAAAAATCATTTATATTTTTAATATTTAATTTTAATTTATTATATATAAGTTAAATACTAAATTAAATTCAAATAATATATTTTTGTATATTATTAAATAAGAAATAACGTAGATAAAATATTTTTTTTGACAAGTGTTTATTATATTAAGTAAGAATTGAAAAGTTAATCTAGATATCGATAAAAATTAATAAACAAAACACTTAAATTTTATTAAATGACATGAGATTAGTGTATAAAATTAATGATAAATAGACAAAGTGAATTAAATAATATCGACATAAATAACAAATTGTATAATATAATCATGCATATAAATAGACAAATATCGTTTAATAAAATAAAATAATATATTTTATAACAAAAATATATTATTATTATTATTATAAAAATCATGACTAGTAACTTTGGTTGGGAAAATAATGAAAAAAAGACAAGTGACGAACCGGAAAAAATTGAAATAAAAAAATTGCCACCTGAAAAATTATTAGAATATGAAAGAAAAAGCGAAACGGCAATATTTAAACAAACATTGGTATTTGGCATTCATTTTAAACAATGCGAAGAAATTGTCGAAGCTGCTTATCGTGTAGCCGATTATGTACCTGATAAATTAACAACTATAAATGGCAAAGCTAATGATGAAAAAGATATATGGAATGATACGGTACTAAAAAAACTAAAAATAATAATGTTTTAAATTAATTAAATTAATTTAATTATATATATATTTATTTCAAAAAAGATTATTCCAATATTAGTTGATACTCTTAAACAGGACGTCGAATTTCGTGGTGTAGTTACTGAATGTTTTGCAGCTGTACGAAGTTTGACTATAACCATACAAAAAGCCTACGACATTGTTAATGATAGTCAAGGTTTTTATTATCTAATTAATAAATAAAAAAAAAGATTTAAAGTTTATTAAAATTTATTTCTAAAAATTAGGAAGTAGTATTGCTATTAAAATTGCTAAGAAAAACATACCTAAAGCTTTAGAAAGATTGGATAGCTGTATTGAAAAAGCTATGCAATTAGATGCCAGTGCGGTTACAAAATTTGGTGAACAAATTAAAACAATCTTAAACATTATTGGTCCTGAAGCTGCTAAATTTATGGAAGAAATTGTTAACTTGCAAACTGAGATAAATAAGTGTTATGAAGAACGTGATAAATTATTGGATACTGTTGCTGAATTAAAAGGTTCGCTATAATAATTATTTTACAAAATTTACAAATTTATATATATATTAGGTCAATGTGAACAATGTAAACAACTAATAGATGCTACGAATAATTATTTAAAAAGTTTACACACAGAAGTTGAGAGTATAGATATACTGAATAAACAAATGGAACAAACAAAATTAGATGTATTGGATGTGATTAAAAATATTCCAGATAGAGTCAAAGTTCCTAAACAACAATCTAAATCTTTCAAAATATTTAGTTTCACATTGTGGGAAGAAAATTTCGGTTCTATTAAATATTTTGAAGTAATTAATTAATCTAGATTATATATAAAAGATTAAACTATTATTTTATTTAATTAAAATATTTCTAGGATTATAATCCACATAAAGAATCGGAATCAAAACATTATGAAAATCTTATTCGTATGCATGCCGAACAAATAATGGCCAATGATGATAAAAATAAATCAAAAAAAGATTTAATTATGCAATTAGAAAATCAGAAATCTAATTATATTAAGGAATTAAATGAAATTAGTCAAAAATTGGTAGCACAAGATTTGCAGAAGCGAATTGAAAATATTGACAAGAAAATTGAAAAGTTGTCAAAACAAATTGAAACATACGATAATAATGCTAAAATAATATCTGATAAATATAAGCTACCAAATAATAAATTGCTTGAATGTCTAATAAATGTACGATTGTTTGCCAAAACAATTAAGCCTGGTGCTTCAGCTTATTCACCATTGTGTGCTATACTAATAGGTTGGTGAAAAAATTAATTTTTAAATGTTTTGTTTTTAAATTTCAATTAATATTTATTTATTATTCAGATATTAAATCAATTGTTGAAACATATGTCGATTATTTGAGCTTGGGCGAAAAAAAATCGGAAATATTTATGGCTGGTCAATATTTGATGCGTCAAGTTGAATTTTTATCAAACTATAATTCACTGGCAATCGATATATTTGTATCGTCTGAACAATATAATGATTTTATTAAAAAATTGAACACAACTGTTACAACAATGGCTATTGACTATTAAAAGTAGATATTTGTTTTTGTAGACAATTTTCAAATTAATTAATTAATAACAGTAATTATATATCTATTTTAGTTTTATATATATATATATTTATAGTTTGTATACTAAATAAATAGTAAATGTTTCAAAATATTAAATATCTTTTAAAAATTAATTTAAATAGAAAAAATTTTTATAATGTTTTTTACTTTAAATTTTTTTTAAACATGTATAATAAATACCGGAATATTATAATGTTTCTACTTATAATATAAATAATAGATATAAATATTATATAGAGATTAATATCTAAAACAAATAAATATAATTACAGTTTTATTTTTTTGAGTTATATTTTATAATTTAGTAAATATTTTAATTTTGTTTAAAATAAATAAATATATAACTACAATAAGTTTTTGCAAAAAGTATGCTATTTATATTAGCAACAAATAATATTTTAATTATTATAAATATTTATTGTTTTTTTTATAATATTTCATTTAAATTCAAATCAAATAAATAAGGTAATTATATTGTGACGGGAAATAAAGCGTTTACCCGTAAATTAGCTCTTTAAAACATACTTTAAAGAAACTATGCATAAGTTTTATATAAGGGTAGACAATAGAGACTGGTTTGGGTACTAACTTGTTATCAAATCATACGGTTCTTAAAGTAACTTTAAGACAGAACCCTTTTCGGTTTGGTTTGAGAGTCAAAATCTAGTTTCGAAAGCCTATACCCGATCACACTAAGGGCCCGTTTGCGAGATACGGCCTAATGACCCAAAAGTAATACACTTAAGGCTTAACTAACTTCAATCAATTAATAATCAATTGTTTCAGTTTTAAACTCTAATTTTTATTCAAAATAAATAGCATATGTCGATAAAACACATGTATAATTAGTTACAGTATATTTTAACTATTTATAATTAATTAACTCATTTTCGACCTATAATTATGTGTCAATTTACAATTTATATAATTCGATATAATATTAGGTAACTTATACAAAATTAGTCGAAAACAAATAGAACATAATCAAAATTAATAAATTTTTATAATTTAAATGGTTAATAATAGGCTTGCCACTACAAAGTATATTTTGTAGTGTGCAATTGGTAACGCTAGAGGAGCTGATGATGCCTAAATCATCACAATATTATTATTATTATTATATTATACTAGTTATTATGATATTTAGTTAATTATAAATTTTGTTTGTATTTATTTAAGTTATTTAAGTTTTTATTACAGATTTTTACTAAATTTTTATTTGAAGTAATTTTTTTCAACTTCAATCTATCTAATCTAAAACAAATTTTATTATTATTATATTAGTTATTTATTAAAAAAATTCTACAATCATTTATTTTAATTATATTTTTAAAATTATATTATATTTTTAAAATTATATTATATTTTTCTTAAATTATATTTGGATTATTTTTAATGTTTTATAAATTTGATCATTTATTATTTTTTTGGTGAACTATTAATATAATCTTTTTTCATTAACCGTTATTTATACAAATATTAATAAAAAATAATAATTTTAAATTAGTATATATGATTTATATTATATCAGTTTAAAGTATATGATTAATATTTTATTTATTTTATATTATAAAGTAGTGAACAAAATTTATTAAATATATTTGATATTTAATGAAAAAATATAAGTAAAATAAAATAATAGATATAATTATTTAGTAGTCATATTATATTGTAATAAAATTATTAAGCATGTAATAAATAATAAATTTTAATTTGTTCAATAGTTAAAAAATAATTTATTAAAAACTATTGAATAGAAAACACATCATTTGCAATTCTAATAAAATATTTCTTAAAATTTTTATTAAATATATATTTAATTGATTTTATAAATAACAGTTTAATGAATAGTAAAAATTATTAAACTATTAAAAATTAATACCCGTACCGTAAAAATTATATTAGAAAAATAATATATATAATATAAAATATTTTTAAAAGATAACAGTTAAATTAGTTAAACATTTTTTTTATATAATTGTAATCAATTTAAATTTATAAGTCAATTAAACTAAATTATAAAATAAAATAATTAAAAAATACAAAAAAAAATATTATAAATATATTGCTATTATAAAATTAATTAATATATAATAAGAATAAAATTTTAATTTTTTTAATTTTTTCCTAAATACTATATTTTAAATATTATAAAAAAGTATTAAATCTATATAAATAGATTCCGATTTCTACAGCTAATTATAATATATCTTAAAATTTTAATCTAATTTATATTTAATAGACTTTATAATTTACAGTTTGATAAACTGTCGTTGAAAGACAATAGTGAATGAATAAATCAATGTATGAATGGATCAAATGAATAGATAATTCAAAAATTCAAATTTAAGCTAAAATTATTCAAATAAAGTCTTTGTCTTTTTTAATGAACTGATTCTCAACGTCTGTCGATATGTACTGTCTTTTCAAATACTTTAACCGTTTCTTTTGTCTCGTCTGCTGTGCGCTGATTGTCTGACAGTCAGACTTATTGTCTGCGATGACGTCGTGCGCGCCAACCAATCGCTGTCATCAGTGGACACTCCCCCGCGGCCGTATTCCGTACAGTCACCGTACTCGAGAGGAACTGGACGTCCTTTGAGATCCTTGGGTCTGTTGGCCATCCATTGAGCAACTGTTGCTTCTCGTTCTTCAGCAGCGAAGTACACATAAAACTGATGGCTGCGAATGAAGAGATAGCCAAATGGAAGTCCTTTTTTCTTGAATTTGTTGGACAAATTGCTTCGCTTCTCCATCCGAGCCATCGTAACCATCGCCGCTGTAGTAGCCGACAAAATATTGATTGGAAAAGACTTTGTAGATTTGGTAAACCCTTCGCTGGGATAACTTGAAGATAGCCTTTCTGTCCAAAGAGTACGGAAACGTACTTCGAGTTGAAGAACTGTCGGCCGACGGTCGGCCTGTTCTTACGCCATCCTCTGGTATCTGTCGTCTTCTTTTTATTCAATGTTTTCTTCATCCACTTTGCTTTGCTCTCTTGTTCTCGAGTCTCGAGTTTATCCTCTTCTGGCCATTGATTGTATGGTAGAAGTAAGGGGTATATCCAGTGTTGTCGATGTCTTTGCCGAAACCCATGTTTTTTATTTCGGTTGGGCTGTTGTTTACACGTTGAGCACTTTAAATATTTATTATATAATTAGTTTGTTATTACAAATACTTATTAATTTGTTAATTTTTATTATATTAATTAAAATACTTTCTCTTAATATGCAATTAGAATACATTTTAAATAATTATTATATAAATATTAGTTTATTATTTAATATTTTTCAGTTACTTATATATATATATTATATAATAAAAATAATTATTATTATTATTATTAAACTTAATTATTAAGTTTCAATAGTAAAACATATACTATTGTTATTAAAAGTATATATTTTTTTTATAAAAGATAGATATTTAAAAAAAATTTTTTAAATTAGCTCTTTTCTCTTAATTACTTATTTTAAAAAATTTTAAATAAATTAAATTTTAAAAATTATTTAGTTTACAGTTTTTTTAATCATTCTAATTAATATATATTATTAATTATTTACTAAAAAACTTATAATTTCAAAAAAAAATTCTAATGTCTTTCATATTAAAATAGCTAATAAAAATGTGTAAAAATTAATAATAAAATTTATATTAAATAGATATTTTATTTTACAGTTTAATAAACATATATTCCTATTACTAATGATTATATATTTATATTTCTTTGTAAACTTTTATAATATGAAATTATCATGTAATTAATTAATTAAAATAAAATTTATATTATAAATTATATAATATAATAAATGTTATATTATTTATATTAGTCTTATATCTTAAGAATTATACTATATATTTGAAATAAATGTAATAAATTTTATTTATTTTTAAATAAAATTTTCATTATAAAAAACTAAATTTTCTTGTATAATTACATGTTTTTTTTAAATTAAAACTTTTATCAAAAATACTTAATAAATACTGTAATATATAATAATGTTATTGTTATATAGTTTATATAAAAATTTATTATTATTATTATAACAATAGCAAATAAAAAATTGATATCTTTCTAAAATTGTTTTTATTTAATTGTTTAATATATAAATTATAATTGTTTATTTAATTACTTTTTTAATAGTCTGGTCTTATAAATATTATATAGACAATTGTTTTTTAATAAAATTGATTTTTGTTTGTTTGTTTAATTTTCATTTTAACTATCACAATTTTTAGTAATTTTGTTTAACTTGTAAAATTATATAAAACAACTATTTTTATTTATTATACTAATGGGTATATTATTTTTTTAGTTTGTTTTTGACATAAATTTTTTTATAATATTATAAAAATTTTAACTTATTCACCAATGGACATATTTTTATCACTAATAATTAAAACTGATCATTATTTAATAAATGCTTCTAAATAATTAAATAATAAATATTACATTATTTAAAAAAAAAATTAAATTAAACTGTAATTTTAGACATAAAACTAAATTACAATATAATATTATAATATTAATATTAGGTTTTCAGGTTCATCAACATGATTTAAAAAAAACATTAAATCTGTTTGTATATAGTTTATAAGTCAATTAAACTAAATAAATCTTGTTTTTAAAATAAATTAAATTAAAAAACTATAAATATAGCACTAAGTTACAGTTAATATACTACTAATATTTTTAAAAAAAAGTCTAACCAAATAATCTATTTAATAATAATAAAAAAACATGCTAGTCATACACTAAAATAATTTTTATAAATTTTAATCTCTTTTAATATAAGAAATTAAGTTATTATTATTGTTTAATTGTTTTTAGTAACATAAATGCATAGCTTTATTCAATATAAATATATTTTTTTTAAGTTAAAATCTATTTATTGATTGATTTTTATTTTATTATTCTAAAAGAAACTGTATTTATTTCTTAATTAAAAATATTATATC